ATAGATAGATAGATAGATAGATAGATAGATAGATAGATAGATAGATACTGAGCTGCCTTTGCTGTCAGCCAAGTAAAGAGCCATTTATGGGCACTGCATGTACTCAGGTCAGTGATTTGAACTTAGAACAGATGTCCCAGAGATTCAAATATTAAATTTTCAGAACCATTTTTATTCAAATATTAAATTTTATGGCTAGGAACATTCCACATAAGAAGCCTAATTATTGGCCAAATTTCTCATAGGTATTGTGCCTATATAACACATTTAGGAATACAAGGCTTAGACCCAGTCCTTCTTTAACATTGTTAACTGATTCAAGATGGTTAGCCTGTGAGTTAAGGGCCTATAGCAAATTCATGGCTCTGAGTTTATTGTTAGGGTGTTTTCTATATTTTATTTAGAAATAGCTGAGAGGAGTTAACAGACAACAGTCCAGATTGCTTTACATGGATAGTTGGTTTTCAAAACTTCAGAAGTCCACAGAATTGACATTACAAACATTTCTGTATTAATGTTCATTTTGATTAGAGATCTGTCTGCTCCTGACAGCTTCCTGTCTTAGGTTCTAAAAAGAAGTTGATCATCTTTGGAGTTACTTCAGTTGTGGTGAGACAGCCACTAGGCAAGAATTGCCTCTTTTCATCCACAGACAAATTACTGTCCAGAAAAGGACACACTTCCGGAATAGTCGACTGATTATGTCTGCCAAGAAAGAGTAATCAGCCCTTAATAATTCTGCATCACTAGGTCTGTCAGATGATCCTGGGCCAGAAGGCTGAAGATCGGATGCTCCAACGTTTTGTAGCATAGAGACTGTCCAGGTGTTCAATGATCTCTATAAATTGGCTAAGTTTTAGAAGCTATGCTTTGTGCTTCCCATAATTTCAGTTAATTCAGTCATTCTGGATTTCTCACGGGGTTGAAGACTTATAGTCTCATAGCCAGTCCCGGCTATTTACTTTGAGAGAAAAGATTTGAGAGGATGGTTTTCAGCTGACATTCATTCTAAAGCCAAGAAAAAAGACAGGTTCAGAACTATGTCTTTTAGTTAGGAGCGATGACAGAGGTTCTGGTTAGTCAACAAAATGTCGGACTGGGTATTAGGTCTATCTTATACCTTACTGATACATATTGGTATAGTTATGCTCTAATTGTATTTTGAGAGAAAAGTTTCATTTTAACAGGAAGGGTGATATGTAGGAGGAGCTAAGGTGGGAGGAGTAAGGAGAGGAAGAGTAAGGAGAGGAGGAGGAGAATGAGAGGAGGAGCTAGGAGACGGGGCGGGGTGGGGGGAGACATAGAGGCAGATGTTTGTGTGTTTCCACCAGTCAAAGATAGTTGGTGTATCTAGGTTGGTTATTGGGTTACACTTCTGGTTGTATGGGCATCTTGTTATTGAGCATTACCAAACTTGCAAAGCCTTTGATTGACTTTTTTTTTAAGTTACTAATAAAAAAAAAGGATGAGGAGGAAGGGTGATGGAATACATGAGACAGGAAATCAGAGGAGGAAACTAGCTGGAGGAAAAAAGGGAAGAGGCAGAGGGAAACAAATAAAAACTCTAATGACTCATGTATGAGGATGCTGTAATAAAACCCAGTACTTTGTATATTAACTTAAAATACTAATAAAGAAAAAAAAGCAAGAAGGAGGAGGGGGGATAGGATAGGGGGTTTCTGAGTGAGGGATGGGGAAAGGGGATGACATCTGAAATGTAAATAAAATATCCAATAAAAAATATTAAATTTTATGTTTAGGAACATTCCATGTAAGATTCCTAATTGCTTGCCAAATTTGATGCCATTAAGCTATTTTTGCTGTTGTCTTTTGCATAGAGCCCCTCTCCAATATTTATTAATTACATAAATCTATAATTAAAATAGAATAGTAAATTCTCAGATCTTCACATATGGGACTGAAAGTATGTACCTGAGAGATGGCACCCTGAACCTTGACCTAACCTAATTGGTGAGCTCCAGGCCAATGAGAATCCTGTCTCAAATAAAAGAAAAAAGAAAAAGAAAAGAAAAAGGAAATTAAAAACAAAATGGATAACAATGAAAATTATACTAAAGTTTGACCTCTGACCTCCTTACACACATACACACACACATACACACACACATACACATATCTTCACAGATGAACATTGCACACAAATTAATACAGTAAACAGAACTCAGCCAACTGTGCCACCGAACACCTTCCATATCAGCTGGTCAATGCCCAGTAATTTCACCTGCTGTTGAAATTTCTGTTTACCAGGTGTTTATCAGCACCAGACATGGTTCCTGGGTCTTGAGCCGAATCTCTGAAGATGGCTACCCTTGGGACATGGTGTTCCACACCAGGTTTAGCTCCATGCTCCGAAATGTCCTGCCCCGCACAGTCGTCAAGTGGATGATGGAACAACAGATGAATCGCTGGTTCAACCATGAAAATTATGGTCTGGTGCCTCAGAACAAGTACTGCTATTTTTCTTTTTGTTGTATGCTCATCCCAGCCAAGGTTGCCTGGTGTTGTCTTTCTTTGCTAAGGTCCCATCTGCTATGGTAGTTCAAGCTGTAAGCCAGAAGTATGTATAATTGTATTGATCCTGGAGTTTTGATTCCAAATGTGTACTGTGTATCAAAAACAAACAAAACACACACACATACAAACACACACAGACAAGCAAACACATCACACACAACACAAACACATAGACACACACACACACACACACAAAGAAGTTATAATAGATGCTTAAACACTGCTCCAGAACTCAGGGTTGGGATTGATTGGGAGAGCTTTCTAACATTCAGGCCATCCAAGTCTCCTCAAGAGATGGTGATCCTCTCAGAGCACCATCTGATAGGTCAACCTTTGTCACGCCCGTGTACCCTGAAGGCTGTTCCCAAGGGAACATACCTCTCCCTCACACAAATATTTGCTAATATCAAAGTAAACGTTGTTGATGTTTACCTTTTTCAGTTGATAGCAGTCTCCTTCGCCTGAGGATGGGGAGATACTGAGTCTTATCATAAATGCCCCCATTAATCTGAATGAGGAGTCCAATATCTATGTCATGTATTGCCTTATTTAAAAAAAAATAATAAGTAAAAGAAAATGGCTTACAAACAAAGAACTCCAGGATTACAAGCAGACTTTGCTCCACCACCCAGGCCACCACAAACAGGGTTCTTATAGATATTGGGATCAGTTAATATCAGCAAATTTCATTTTATGCACTGATTTTCACACTGACCCTGTAGTAGGTCTCATTGTTAATGCAATCCGTTCTCCCTTATTTACTATCAGGTAGAGATTAAATGAAGCTACAGATAACGAAAACTACATAGCATAAAAAAGAGAGAGGTACCAAAGGTCAATAATTACCGGCAAATTCAAAGATTAACACTAGGTGCTGGCATCATATCTAAGCCCCTGGAGCGACTTCCACCTTTGGATTGATTTTGCTTTTATCATCTGCTTGCTTTCCTTTGTTTATCAAGGGAAGAGGTTATCAATTATTAGAATGAGTCCAATAGCAGTTTGGGGCAGGCAAACTAGTTGAGTTAGTTTCCTGACTATTTAAAAAAAAACAACACAATTTTCATCGCCACCCCTAATTCATATTCAGTGGCCCCTCTGAATGCGTTCTTTCCTGTGTGCCTCAGATACCTTATGAAAGAACCTGTATTAAATGATGATCTTCCCAGCCGCCTGCTGTACGGCGCCATCAAAGTAAAAACACGGGTGAAGGAGCTCACGGAGACAACTGTGGTCTTCGAGGATGGCACGGTGGAGGAAGACGTGGATGTCATTGTCTTTGCCACGGGATATACCTTCTCTTTTCCTTTCCTGGAAGACTCGCTTGTTAAAGTGGAGGATAATAAGGTCTCGCTGTACAAAGCCATGTTTCCCCCTCACCTGGAGAAGCCAACCCTTGCGTGCATAGGTCTCATCCAGCCTCTGGGCTCCATCTTCCCAACTGTAGAGCTTCAGGCACGTTGGGCAACAAGAGTTTTCAAAGGTGAGTGGACTGCTTAACTCAGTGGAATTTTTATCATTTTTTTTCTTAATTTTTAAAACTTTATTCATCTGTGTATGTATGTGTGTCAAAGAGAGGCGTGGATGGAGAGACCAAAGGACAGCTACCCTATGGGGAGTTGTCTCCCTGCTGCTGCCACCTTGTGGGACATAGAGGTAGATCTCAGTTTGCCTGCACAACATGGCTCTACCTGCTGAGCCATCTCTGGGACAAGGTTTTAAATGTTTTCACAGGGTTGTCTGTGCAGCATTTCACTGTCCTCGGAAGGCTAATTTTTCTCCTGTTTTGGAGATTCAACTCTGTTCAACAAAAGTCTCATTTGATGCCCAGCCTGTGCTGAGATCTAGTGAGTCAGAAAGAAATATAAACAAATCGCTTTAATAACATGACAAATGCTTTGCTGGGAGAATTCGTACTATGAAAGAGACGGGAGCTTGGTCCTGTCAGAAGGCACGTGGTCCAGGAAAGCCTCCTGGTGTCTGAGTTTCACAGATCCAGAAAAGGGATTTCCTGAGCAAAAGACACAGAGGCAGGATGCCTGTGGAGAACTATGAGCCCCACATTGCTGGAGGTGGGAGGTGACGAGAGAAGAACCAGCCGACACAAAAGCTTTGTTAAGGATCTGGGGTTATAAAAAGTAAATGTATAAACACTGGTAAGGGAGGTTTGTTTTTGTTTTTGTTTCTTTTTCTGTTTTTGTTTTGCTGCAGATGAGTGAGAAGGAATCTAATGTAACCGAGGATGTCCTCAAACTTGCTATGTAGCCAAGGCTGGCCTTGAACTCCAGATCACGTGCTTTCACCTCTCAAGTGGTTCCAGGCCTTTAATCTCAGCACTCCAGAGGCAAGAGAATAGATGAGAGTTCAAGGGCAGACTGGGCTACAGAGCAAGTTCAATCCAGCTAGGGCTTCTAGAAAGACTTTCTTGGAAGAAAAGAAGAAAGGTGATTAAAACAAAAGAAAAAAGGAGGGAGGGAAGAAAGAGAAGAAAAGAGAAATATAAACCAGTTCTTCCCAAATCGTGTGTAGCCAACTACTATCTAGATGACCCTTGGGGAGCCATTCAGATTGAGTCTGGCCTGAAAACCTGGACTCTGCATCTTAGAAAGCTCTTAAGTCAGAAGCGCCAGGGAGGAAGTATACTGGAAGAATAGGAATTGTCTCCTTTACACTTAAGGTAATTCTATCAATTGGGAACACAGATTTAATAATCAAAGACCACTGAGAAAGCGCCGGCACTCACCTGTGCTAAGATACGATGCAGCCCAGGCCAGAGCTGAAGTCAAAGTGGAAATGAGAACAAATGTGTTGGAAACAGTCAAGGAAAAAGGCAGCAGAGCATGCTTTGTGGTTCAACATAGGAAAGGAAAAGAATATGGGTCCAGCACTGGAGTCTGGCTGTGGCTGAGAATAGAGACAGGAGGGTCTCAGTGGCAAACTCAGCTTTGGGCTACTAACGTCTGAGATGTTAGATGCCTGACCATGTGCAGGAATATGGCCATTGTTCCCATCTGAAGCCCACAGTACACTTGAGCACAGGAGATGGGCTCACACACACACACACACACACACAGAGAGAGAGAGAGAGAGAGAGAGAAACAGACAGACAGACAGACAGACAGACAGACAGACAGAGACAGAGAGGGGATCACCACACTATTTTATCTAGCCAAACTTCCCTCAGCAGTTGGGGCCACTATCATCTCTCACCAGATTTCCTTCAACAGCCTTTTACCTAGTTTCCCTAATAGTAAGTTCGCCTCCCCTGAGCCTTCCTTTTTTAAATCAAGGACCCAGATGGATCTTTCCAAAGGGCAAATCTAATCTTGTTACATCATCCAGGAAACTCTTCTAAAGTGTCCTGTCACTACCAGAATAGAGCCCACCCCACCTGACACAGTTTCACCAGCATGCTTCCCTTCTCCAGCCCCTTTTCTGGCTTCCCCAGTTCATGGCCTATGCCACTGGCCATGCTCAGCTACGGAGGTCCCACTCCTGCCGTTCAGAAGCACGGAGGTCCTGCCTGGTATGACAACTAAATGGCCCAAATTCAACCTTAGAAAACAACTGCTACACAAATCAGTAACATGGAAAGAAACTCACTACTCAAACTAAGTTTCATTTTTGTTTTTGTTTTTGTTTTCTAGGCTTGTGTAGCTTGCCTTCGGAGATGACTATGATGGCAGACATTGTTGAAAGAAATGAGAAAAGAATTAACCTGTAAGCACTTTCCTTGTAACACATGTTCTACATGGAGTAGTATGTCACAAAACACCACAAGCTGACTGCCTGTGAGAGTCAGCTAGCTGTTAAAGGTGCAGTCCTAGAACACAAACCAGGCCAAACCTATGAGTCAAAGGTTCTATAGATGAGACTGGAACTTTGTAAACTGATGATGTTTCATTTGGTTCTTAGACATCCTAGTTTAAGAACCCATTACTCAAAAACACAAAACAGTGCCAAGTCAGAACGCCTTTCCTCGGGCTAATCTCATTTCTGTCTTCTATGATGCCCATTCGAGATTCTATATCCTTTCAGGCCATCCACACTCAGGGAATGTCACAGGGCAGTGGTGGCCTTGGTAGTAACGGTAGCCTGAGACACTCAAAATTTGCTTGGGTTTGTCAGTTTTGTTGAAGTGGGACCGAGCTTGACTGTAATCAAGTACTCTTGGAAAGTTGACTTGCCTTATAGACATAAGGGGTTATCTCACGTTCAAGGTCTAATTTATCTAATATGCATTGAGCATGTTCTAGATGTCAGCCAGACTACAGGGTACTTTAGCAGTGTAACAAGGGAATACTATGCATCTAGTGCTGGAAGACACTGCCCCTCTACCATCTCATAAGCATTTGCAGCAATCCTGGGTCATACATTCTTACTTGGGCACTTACAGCAGCTTAATAAGTAACCAATGACAGTCACCATTTCAATATCATTACACCTCTAGAGTCTCCATCAGTTTGCCTAATAATTTTGTAGGCTTCTCATCAATCTGAGATACAAGCCTCCTGATGGAACCTCCCAGAGATTCATTCAAAATTTATGTCTTCATTTGTTCGTTCTTTTATTACTTAAACCGCTATTGAGTGGCTTGTATTAAGATAGAACATAGAGTGTTTTATGAATCAGCACTTTTCATTTACTTCACTAAGGTTTGGAAAAAGCCAGAGCCAGATACTGCAGACCAATTACGTTGACTACCTGGATGAACTAGCTTTGGAAATAGGTGCGAAGCCAGACTTCATCTCTCTCCTTTTCAAAGACCCTAAACTGGCTGTGAGACTCTACTTCGGACCCTGCAATTCCTACCAGTACCGTCTAGTTGGACCTGGACAGTGGGAAGGAGCCAGGAATGCCATCCTCACCCAGAAGCAGAGGATCCTGAAGCCCTTAAAGACTCGAACTCTCCAGCCCTCAGCTAACGCCTCAGTATCTTTCCTGCTCAAGCTCCTGGGACTGCTCGCTGTTGTTCTAGCTTTCTTTTTCCAACTTCAGGGGTTCTAATCTGTCACCTGACACTTTTCTCCATCACTGCCTCTTTGAAAGGGAGACTAAAAAAAATCACATCCTCATTATAATTTTACTTCAGGGGAACAAATAGAGGGACTAATTGTAGGGAGATCAGAAGACGTAGGTCTAGATATAAAACTAAATTAAGGTCACAAGATGTCCTTATCATTCTATTTCCTCAAATTCATCTGTCTCCATACTGTATTCTACAATAATACCAGCACAGGTAGATAGTGCCATCAGCCATGGCAGGTTTTGAGTTACGTGATTAAAAGAATTCAATAAAATTATGCAGAATAAAAAGTAAGTCATAGTTGAGCATGTTAGCACACGCCTTTAATCTTAGCACTTGGGTGGCATATGGATCTCCATGAGTTTGAGGCCAGGCTGGCCTAAAGAGTGAGTTCCAGGACTTCCAGAACTGCACAGGTAGATCTTGTCTCAAAAAAAAAAAAGGCAAGACACTGAAGAACTTAAATTGTGGTAGAGATTTCACATCCTGTACACTATGCTCAGTGCTGTTCCTACGCATACTCTAGTCACCGTTCCTACTTATTAGGGTCTGCTATCTCTTGATGAGAGATCACTCAGAAATACTGGTGGACAAAAAAGAGAGGATAGACCAAAAGCAACAACAATGCTGGGATATACTTTAAGTTCCTCATATTGCAAGCTAAGCAAATAGACACAGCTCCTGTATGTTGCTAGAAACACTGATCCCCTAGCTACAACATATAGATATTGTTTCTCACAGACTAGACATTGTGCTATGTGTACATTATGTATTTTATTGTATTTAATTCTCACAGCAACTGTCTTGAGATGAGGCTTCAATTGATGCCCAATTTGTTAAACTCTGGAACTAACAGTCATGAGCTCACCATGCAATACGCTTATTTATAAAAGCTCCACTCTTGATGAAGTACTTCCTAATTGTTTATTTTATTCATTATAAGATCACACTATAGTTCTATTCATTAGCATAAAGTTTTCTAAAACTATTGTAAAAAATGGCACTTTCCTTGCAAATACAACCTGTCTAGGTTCGTTTACAGTATTAGGTCTTCATGTCAGCTGGAGCTTAAAAAGCACTTGAGGTTGGCACAGTGTACAGACCTTTAATCCCAGCACTAAGGAGGCAAGGAGGTGGATCACTATGAGCTTGAGGCTGGGCTGGTCTACATAGCAAAATCTGGGCCAGCCAAGGCTACATGGTGACACCCTGCCTCAAAAGAAAAATAATTTTAAAGAGAACTAGAATGAAAAATACCTCTGCAGCAGTACTTAAAGTAATTATCAACATTTGGAAGGGTGACAATTGAAGTAAAGTGTATCTCCCAAGCAGATGAAAACTGTTACGATGACTGAGCCAGTGTCTAGGATTAACATGATAGGTAAGAAAGGCACATCTCAGCAATGCACTGTCTTTGTCATCTGATAAGGGGGCAGGGAGTGTCATTTTCTTGGAACTGAAAACTAAAGGAGACATAAGCAATTCAGTGTCAGCAAACATTGAGCAACATAGCAAACAGCAGGCTACAAACACTCCTGATAGCAGCTCTTCCCGTGACCCGCACTGTGAAAGATAAGCCATGCCCAGACACCAGACCAGTGCCTCTGCAGAGGGGACAAAGGTTGAGATATTGAAGGTTTAGGTAAATAGCTGTTCGTTATCCCTCCAAGGAGTGATTCTCAACTTTCCTCATGCTACACCCCTTTAAATCAGTCCCTCATGCTGTGGTGGCCCCCAACTCTAAAATTATTCCATTGCTACTTCATAACTGTAATTTTGCTACTCTTATGGATCGTAATGCAAATATCTGATATGTCACCCCTGTGGGGGTCTCAACCCACTGGTTGAGAACTACTGCTTTAAAGCTTTGTGGACGCTCTCTTTAAGCCTAACTAATGCCAGCCCCTCTCTCCTTTCTTTCTCCTCGCTCTCCTCCTCCCTTTCCAGTCTGATGGCAATATCTTCCAATAGGAACTTCTTTCTTTTAAGCCCACTGAATTGGACTGCAGAACTGCCCAGTTGACAAAGCCTTGGAAGCTTAAGAATCTGAAGTTGAGCTTCAGAACCTGCATTTTACCAACCAGGTGTGGCAGAACACACATCTGATCCCAGCACTGGAGAGGAAGATGATGACAGTTTCCTGGGTGTCTCTGGCCAGCCTCCTCTGTTTTAATGAGTGCCAGGTCAGTGAAAGACCCTGTCTCAAAAAACAAAAGTGAACAATGCCTGAGGAATAATACCAGAGCCCCACCTCTGGCCTACCTACACATGCTTGCATACATTTGCACACACCTCTGCACACACATATGCAACTGCACACATCTGAACACACACACGCATGTATACATACACACACACACACGAAAGTTCACTGATATTATTACATTCGAATTTAAGACTCTTTTCTATACTTACAAGTAAATTCCTTTCTAAAATTGCAAATGTATTGTGTGCATTTATGAAATTCTCAAGCAAAAATTTTTTAAAACTAAAAATTATAAATGAAATATACATATACATATACATATACATATACATATACATATACATATACATATATACATGTATATATGTAGCTTTTTATGAGAAGCTGATTACTTGTGCTGGGCAAGATGGCCCAGCAGGCAGAGGAACTTGCCACCAGGCTTGATGATCTGAATTCTGTTCATAGGAGGAGAGAACCAATTCTTGCAAGATGTCCTCTGACCTCTGTACAGGCATTCATATCTACACCCACATTCAATAAATACATAAATAAAATGCAGCAAAAATAAATAAAAGCAGATTACTTTTTTATCAACTATTAAAAATCCTTTTCAAATCATTATGTTAAATTACCAAACCTGAAAAGCAAAAATCGGCGAACTATTGTATGAGAACTGAAGCCTGGGTTTTTGTGCTGGTTTCATGAGGACACGGGCACGCCCACTCATTTATTGCCTTGCTTTTGTGCTCCTGTGGCAGAATGGAGTATTTGCAACAGGACCGAGTGTTTGGGCCTCAAACTCTAAGATCTTTAGTGTCTGACCCTTTGTAGAAAGCATGCCAACTGGCTTTCCATGTCACATTTTATCGTTGTGATGGCCACTTGTGATGGCCTACCATCCTGCCACTACAAAAGAAGAGATGAAGAACACCTGTTAGATTGGTACAAAATCAGTGGTTCTACAGGAGGATTGGTTCTAAGACAAAATTATTATTAAATTAACAGCACTAACAATTTTACAAATCTCTTTATTTTTCCAAATCTTCTGATAATCAATTATTTAATGAAGATGCCTCTGAGAAGTCATTCAGTCTCCCTTTGCCTCTGTGTGTCTTGAACATGAAGCTAACCCAGACCAACTTTCTATGGATTTTTGCACCAAACCACAATGTACAGACCACCTATTTCAGAGAACCTCACAGTTCTTATAAATGTTTGAACATAAATGTAGCAATAGCCTACTCAGTCAGGATCTCTGCTGTTTCAAAAGCGGTGCACAGCAAATTTGAGAGCCAGTGAGTTTGGAAAGACCACTCGTGTGTGTGTGTGTGTGTGTGTGTGTGTGTGTGTGTGTGTGT